CTATTTTTATTATACACCTTAATTTTGATTATTTTTTTTATTGGACCGACTCTCTTATACTTTAAATACAATGGTTATATCTTTTTCCTGGCAATACTTATGATCTAACTCTTTGGCATAACTTTTCTTCTATCATTTTTATAATTTTATTATTTTATATATTATTTAGTTGTCTATAATTTTATTATATAAGACAAACATATATATATACACACACTAGATGAGTGTCCGCGCAAAGCGACGGTTATACGTAGCTCTTTTGCGAATAGTTTTCTTGCGGAAAAATAATTATTAGATGTTATTATTAATTATTATGCAATAAAAAAAATTACCATTTTTAAATAAAATATTTATGTTTCGACCTTATATTTATATTGTTTGTTTATACTATTGATGTAATTAATTAATATCGGTGTCTAGTTTAAAAAATATAAATTAATTTATATACATGAATTTAATATTTTAAAATTATCATTTTGTTCCAAATTGAATTTCTTAATAACCGAACTTCATTAAAGTCTTCAAATTTTTGACAAGTATTAATGAACTAGGTGTAAGACTCATGTATTACATGAGTTAATTAAAAAAAATTAAATATAAAGGTCTAAATATTTAAGAACTTTGGATTTATAAGAAAAATAATGAATTATTAAAATTGATTTTTTTTATCTTTTAAATTTAAATAAATAAACAAAATAAATTAATGACCTTTAATTTGGTTATTTTTAAATAAGAAGATAATTCTATTAATGAAATTGATATTCATTTATTACTACATTTATTGTAATTATTACATTAAAGTATTATGTGTAATTTACTAAAAAAGAAAACTCCATAAAATGACATAGGGAAAAGAAATTAATTCAAAATAACCATAAAATGACATTTGCAAAATTGAATGAGAGTGTGACATGTTGCAAAAAAAACACTTATTTATTAGAGTTGATTATTTATGTATAATTGATTTGTACAAAAGGCTTTGTAACTTATACCTTTTAAAATTAAAGATATGACTTATATATATATATATATATATATATATATATATATATATATATATATATATATATAGTATTAATGATTTATTTATGTATAATTGATTTGTATAAAAAGCTTTGTTACTTATATCTTTTAAAATTCAAGATATGACTAATATGTTATGTAGTATATATATATATATATATATATATATATATATATATATATATATATATATATATATTATAAAACGTATTAATCATATCTTAAATTTTAAGAGGTACAAGTTACAAAACTTTTTGTACAAATCATTTATGCATAAATAAATCATTAATAATTATCAAAAGTTTGAAGACTTAAATTATGGAATGTAATTAAGAAATTCATTTTGGAGCAAACGAAAATGTTAAAATATAAAATTCATGTATATAAAATAATTTATATATTTCTTAAACTAAACACGGTCATTAATTAATTTACATCAGTAATATAAACAGACAATATAAACATAAGGTATGAACATAAATATTTTATTTAAAAATAGTAATTTTTAATTACATAATAAGTAATAATAAAATATAATAATTATTTCCCGGTAAGAAACTATTCGTTAAAAAAATTATTTATCACTGTGTGTGTGTGTGTGTGTGTGTATATATATATATATATATATATATATATATATATATATATATATATAGGAAAAGTGAATATACCCTTAAGGGTATATAAACTTAGATACTCAAACTCACCATAATACGTCATTTTGTTTGATATATTCATTATAATGTTCTTAAACTTCAATCTCTAACTTGATTTACTTTCAAGATTTTTAAACTATTATCTTACTCTTATATCACATCTTTTTGCCCAACACCTAATATGCATATATATTATAGTTGAAAATGAAAATTATATAAGAGGAAGATAAATGTGAAATTTATAAAAATGTTGAAAGTAAATCAAGTTAGAAGTTGAATTATAAGAACAATTGACAATTACAATGTATATATATGATACAAAACGACGTAGTATAGTGAGTTTGGTTACCTATGCTTATATACCCTTAATGGTATATTCACTTTTCCATATATATATATATATCAGCCGTATACAAATTCTTTTTGTGACCTAATTAATTTTTTTACAACGCTGACCTAATTAATTTATTCTTCCATTTGATTTAATTTTACATTAATTTCTATCTATTTTTCTAGCCATCATTTCCTTTTTCACTTATGAAGATGTGGCTATGATTTTTTTGACTTGGGTATGTTTGGGTTAGCTTTTTTATCTCAAAAGTGATTTTTAAGAAAAATGTTTATTAGCTTATGACTTTTAGGAAAAGCTGATTTTAAAAAATGTTTGGATAAGAAAAGCTGTTTTTTCAGAAGTAAAATTGCTAAAAAGCTAAAAAAACTAGGATTTTCTAGCTTTTTGAAAGTTTTCATTTTTCCTATACAAAAAACTGTTTTAAAAAACGTTTTTTAAATACACAAACACTTTTTTAACTTATTAACTTTTTGAAAAGCTATCCCAAAACATCCACTTGATGTAATATACAAATTTGACTTTTCTTTTTCTACTTTCATTGCATCACTAACATGCATTCAGGGCGTAATTATGTGAGTACAAGGGTTGGCCTTGGCCCACCCTACATATATTTGAAGTCTTATATATACTATATAATTTTGTTAAGTAAAAGTAACAATGTTTTCATATGGCCCACCCCTTGAAATTATTACTACATACAATTGTTTGTTGGAAGATTATATTTATATTTTATATTTGAGTTTCACTATTGTGATCCTCTATCTTGAGCTCATACTTATTATTTTTATATTTATATTTGGGTTTTACTGTTGTGCTCCCCTATATTGAGCATATACTTAAATATCTTTCAAATGCTTTGAATCTTATTTATGGAAATGACCTTCTGAGTTTTCTTTTTTATTCATAAACCATCAAAGTTATAAAAACAATCCCTAATAAATTTGGTTATTAGTTGTTGCTATTAATTAATTACTAGTTGTAAGACCCGTATGTTATACGGGTTGAATAAAACAAAAAAATTAAACATGAAGGTTTAAACAAAAAATTATTTAAATTTGAAATTTGAAATTTGAATTTAAAAGGAAACATATTAAATACTATATGAGCTGTAATATTGTAATTTATTGGTTATTTTCAATTAAGGCAATTATTAATTGAGGTGTAAATATGATGTGTTAATTAAAAAAAGATAAAAAAAAATGAGAAAATGATAAATGGAAAAAACATTTATTCAAAAATACCAAAAAATGACATGTGTCCAAGTTAATGAGAGAGTGACATGTGGCAAAATTATTTTCATTTATTAGGGAGAATTTGTATTTTTGTATTATTGTATTATATGTATTATTGCACTACATATACATTTATTTTTTTAATAAGAATATAAGATTACGTTTGTAATTGGAATTATTTTTTATTAATGAATTTCGTTGAGTAATGGGTACAAAGCAAAAAAGATTAGATATCGCTGAACGTTTCAAATTAGGCTCCATTTTGGATGATTTTAATGATGTAAGAGATAATCGTGTGCAACTTAAAGGAACAATTTACTTAGAATGCATACATTGTTATATTTTGTTATCATTTGAAGTATTTTGCTACTAATTCATATTTTGTAGATTATTTGGCATACCCTTCAACAAAATCCTGGATCCGCCACTGATGCATTATGTGTATATTTTTAAAATGAAGAAGCATAAGCTTTTGATAATCTTTTATTTTTTTTAGTTTACGAATTTAACAAAATAATATTATTTTCTAATGATAAAAAGATATATTAATTTACTTTAATGTATTATACATTACAACCGCAATAGAAGTTAAAAATATATAATAAAGTGATTATATCGTAAACATTTATTGAAAACTATTAAAAATAATTTTATACTAGGTATTTAAAGCAATGGTTATTTATTAATAAATAAAATAAATATATTATATTGTTCACTAAAAAATCTAAAAACTATTTATGTTTATTAAAAATTTAAAGTGTATACGTTTGTGTAGGCAAAAGTTTACAAGAAGATGGAAGTATTATAATTTTATAAAAAAAAAAAAACTAAAATTGTTATTTTCATATATTAAAAGCATATAATAAAATGTAAGTGTATAATCAATAACCATGTTTATTAACGGAAAGTGCAGAAATAAAAATAGGGGAAAATACAAATCTAGCCAAAATCCTTAATTACATAACAAAAAATAGCAAAAAAAACCACTTAGTCAAAAATAGCCCACAAAAGAGTAGTCAACTGTAGGTTGACTACTGTTTCGCCAAATCGTCTACTGTTTCATGTTTTGTATAATTTTTTTTTTTTCATTTTTAGGATACAAAACCATAGGTTTTTTAAATCTACGGTTTCTTCTCGAAACCTACGGTTTCCCCAAAACAGTAGTTAAAATCCACAAAACAGTAGATTTAAAAAAAAAAAAACCGTATTTTTTCACCCAAAACCGTAACTACGGTTTGGGAAACCGTAGGTTTTAAAAAACCTACGGTTTTGTATCCTAAAAATGAAAAAAAAATTATACAAAACACGAAACAGTAGACGATTTGACAAAACAGTAGACGAATATCGAAACCTACGGTTTCGTGGGCTATGATTGGACATTTATTAATTTTTGGCTATAAATTGCTAATGATTTCCTTAATTTGGCTAGATTAGTAATTGCCTAATAAAAATATTATACTTTTAAAAAAAAATTATACTTTTAAAAAAATGTTAATATGCATAAAATAATAATGTATTATCTATGTTGTTCTTTCTCTTTTATATTTTATAAAAAAATAATAAATTTGAAACAGAACATTTAAATAATGATTATTAGTTGGATATTACTTAATCGTAAATACAATCTTTAATCTTTATGTTTTGAATCTCTTTAATAAAATAACAATTAATTCAAATTAAATATACACAAATTAATCTCAAAATTGGATCAAAAGGTTAAAATAGAAAGATACGTACTGTGCCTTTTATATGCGGAACTTCTCCTAAAACGGCGGAGATAAGAGTCGATTTACCGGAGCCGACCTCACCGCATATAGCCACTTTTTTTCCGGTCAAAACTTCAAGTTTTACATCCGTAAGTGTCGGTTTCGAAGAATCATCATTCCATGAAATCGATTCACAATTGATTACGACAGCTCGATCTTCCATGTTTCCATGATTCTTCTCCTCTTTCTGCAACTCTGACGCCTGTAAAAACTCAACAACACGGGTTAACCCAACCCTTCCTTCAATAAATACCGCTGCAACATCAGAAATACTCTGAATCGGCTCCTGAATGATCCGAATCGTTGCCAGAAACGTGAACACATTACTCGCATTAAGCTCGATTCCTAACAAATAACAAGCCCAAAACGTCACCACCGCCACAATCACCGGAGACGACCAAAACATTATGATGAAAAATCCTCTTTGTGTCATAACAGCCGATAACCATTTCATCTCTTCGTTTCTTAACTGTGCAGCCGCCTCTCGGAAATGCGTCTCCCAAGCGTACAACTTCAGAACCTTCATGTTTGAAATCGCCTCTGATATGGCCTTCAACCGCCGGTCTTGCGCCGCCATGAGTTTCGTTAGGTATTTATGTTGTAATTTCCCCAACGGAATGTTTCCGACGACTGTTAATACTATTACCAATAAAGCTGCGATTGTTGCTAATCCGATTGAAAAATAGATTATGAAAATCCCTAGACATATCTGAAGAGCGATTGTCCATATGTTGTGAAACCAAAACGGAACCTCTCCGATTTTGGTAGCATCAACGGTGGCATAGTTCATGATTTGGCCGGGGGAGTAAATTAATTTAGCATCATTTGATAGCCGGAGTTGCTTCTTATAAATCGCTGCACATAACATCGACTTGACTTGGAGTCCGATCACTCTAGTCCGAAACTTTAGTTGTCTCTCCGATATCGATTCCAGACATTTGGCTAGAAATAAACCTAACGTCAGAAAATACCCTTCGTTCTCGAAACTTTCATTCCCTTGAACAAGTTGAATGAAAGCTCGAAGAATCAAAGGACCTGAAGCCAACGCGAGCACTTTTATCAGCGCAAAAATACCAGTGATTACGAGCTCTTTCCATTGCCAAACGAACAACGTCGATAAGATCGGCGGATCGGAATCACCATGACCACCGGAAACACTCTTTGCTCGCCGTTTCTCCAGCGTCTCCATGAAAGTGGAGTAACATTCTTCTGCTGTGTCTTCCTTTCGTAACTTAGGGATGTCGTTTTCATCGAGAACTTTACTTTTCCCTTTTACCATCAACGGGTTTAGCCACCAGAATGTGAATTTACTTAACACTCCAGCTTTGGCCATGGGAGTAACATTTTCGTCTGTTTCAGATGGTGGATTTGCTTGCAGAGGCGCATAAAGCGAATTATCTTCCATTAATACAAGTTGTTCTAACTTCTAAGATGAAGGTCTGAAGTCTTGAAGTCTGAACAAATGAGAATATAGTAGTTAGTTTTGTGCTAAAACGGACGAGTGATGAGTGGACTGAAGTTCACGAGAGAGCAATTGGTGGTATTTAAAGCATTACGAAATCAACAGATGATATGTGTTTTGAAGACATGTGTTTTGCAAAGAAATTGTTAATCGAATGAACATGTACAAATGTACAATAATAGTATAAAGAAGGGACTTAAATCAACTTTATTTTAATATTATTTTGGGGGCCACTATTGTCTATAAGACCTTCCGGTATACCGGCCACGAGCCGGTTCATAGTCTACGTGGCCACGAAAATGGTCCGTGCACACCACCCCGGTATCTCGTGGTCGGTCCTGCTCCGGATAACGAACGCAAACAACGAATGGGAGAAGAGGAAGCAATTTAGCCGTTGAACGGCTACATTTTTTAAACAAATTTTATTATTATTTTTTTTAAACAAATTCTATTTTTACCTATAAATACCATATTTTTACAATCAATTTTTACACCATTTTTTTCTTTCTCTATACACAATACACATACAACAATTTCATATCAATCAAAAATGGATCACAACCAAAACACCCCTCCCCAAACTTTAGAAATTGCAAACCCGATAACGCATTTGCGTTAGACACAACCCCTCGCCAACTCCCGACCATGGAATCACCTCAATTTGGTTTTGTCAATTCGTTTCAAACCGGTTCCTCTATCCAACAAACAACACTTTTCCACCAACAATATCAACATTTCCCGGCTTTCCAACAACAACAATTTCAACAATATCAAGCTTTCCAACAATTCTAACAACTCCAACAACAACAATTCCAATCACAACCATCACAATATATACTTAATGGGTAGTAACAAGCGGTAGATTTTATTTAAGATTATTCTTTTAACAAATAGTTGTTAACTTATAGTTGTTATTTCAATAGTTTAAAAAGTAACAATAAAACCTCTTAAAATAAAAAAAAATAAAACACATATGAAGCAAATATTTAAACTATAATATTTATAAATCAGACACTTATCAACTTTTAAACTTACCAAAATTATAAATTTACAAAAGCAGGGATCATTTCCGTAATTTACTCTTTTTTTAATATATCACGAACTACAAATCAGGGCCGGCCCTAAAGGTGTTCAAGGTGTTCCATCGCACAGAGCCCTAAAAATATAGGGCCCGAAAATCATCCTATTCACCTAGTAAGATTATACTATATACAATATCACTGACATTTATAAGGTAAAATATTGAAAATATTGAAGGGCAGTTGGTTAAGGACGTGTCATTTATATATATATATATATATATATATATATATAAAAGTTAATTGGAACTTGTTAAAACATCTCCTACCATACAATAATTGGTGAGACGTCATAAGCTTTTATTGGCGAGACATCATAAGCTTTTATTGGGCAACCGTAGTTCGATTCCTACTACCTACTTGGCCATTTTATTTTCATTTTTGTTTAATTTTTTCACTTCAACATAGTATATAATATTTAGGAATTTTTTTAAATAGATCTATTTTTAGGAGGCCTTCTTTTTGTGTTCGCCGAGTGCCTAACATAAGTCAGGGTCGGCTCTACATCTTTTCGACAAACATACAAGGTAGCATGTATACATTTTAACTATATTTTGATGATAATCTTTTTGAGAAGTTGACATATCATGGTAATTATATTTTTGTTTGTTCATATTTGGTAACTTTATTTTTTTTACACATCTAGATAACGAACTTGTTAGAAGTATTCACATATGATCATTATGACCGGCTGTAGCAAGTTATAACCGGTCATAATGGTCATATGTGGACATTTTCAACAAGTTTGTTACCTAGATGTGTAAAAAAAACGAAGTTACCTAAATATGAACAAAACAAAAATGTAATTACCCTGTTAATTCGATTTGTCTTCTTTTTTATTTTACCTTCTAAATTTAACCTAAATGGTTAATATTTTTAAAACCACACCATTTTGGTAAATATCTTTTTAAAATACACTACTTTGATATAAATAAAAAATAAAAAAGTTCTAGATTTGATAGGGAAAAAACATATCGTCATTTTATAAAATTTTATTGTTTAAAATATTAAATATAAAAATTAAAATTTACTAAAGACTAAAAGTACCTGCGATGGAGACCAATAATATGAAATAGAACATCATCTTCAATGAAGCTTGCTCCATGTATTACAGGAATTTAAAATACAAAAAATAGAAGTAGTTTTTATCTACATTGATAGCATTACTCTTGATATATATATATATATATATATATATATATATATATATATATATATATATATATATATAGAGAGAGAGAGAGAGAGAGAGAGAGGGAGAGAGATAGAGAGAGAGTTATTTGATATTTATGTTACTAAAAACGGCTCCGAATATGTTGTGACCAATTTAAATGCTCACAAATGGTAATAAATATTGTTTTAAGAAAAAGTTAACTGAATATATTAATATTGCAAACATTATGATCGATTGTCATAATAAAAAAAACGAAGTTGACTTATCATAGTAATTACTTTTTCATTTTGTTTACATCCGGGTAACTTCGTTTTTTGTACACATCTAGGTAACGAACTTATTGGAAGTGTTCACATATGACCATTATTATCTGTCGTAACTTGCTACAGCTGGTCATAATGGTCATATGTGAACACTTCAAAAAAGTTCGTTACCTAGATGTGTACAAAGAAAAAAAATGAAGTTACTCAGATGTGAACAAAACAAAAAAGTAGTTACCTTAATAAGTCAATTTTTTTAGACAAAATTACATAAATGATCCATGTGGTTTACCAAAAGTCACAACTTTAGTTCATGCAAATTTTGTTTATACGAATGTTTCTCATGGTTTCTAAACTTGCACGAATGGTCCCTATGGTTTCTAAATCTTGCACAAAAGGTCTTTTGAGCTACATAAAATGACATTTTTACACCTTTTTAAATTTTTTTTATCTTTTTTTATAAACTAAATTTAATTATTTAAAATAGAAAAACAAATAACCCCTATCAAACCTAAACCCCACCCTCACCCCTCCTCCTGGTACTTAATGTTTTCTTTCTTTTCTTTCTTCTTCCCCTTACTCTTCTTTTCCTCCACAAATCGAGCCACCGCCATAGCCACATGCCCCCATCTTTAAGAAAAATCTGGAGTCCAATAATCAAATATAGACCATACAAACCACCATAATCAACCAAGAAATATACCAAGTTGTCACACCCCGCTAAAGCAGAAACACGAGGCATGGCAGTATAAAGGGTTTCATAGCAAAAGTTAGAAGACAACACCAACCATAGTATTAAAAATCTTTACAAATTTACAATGGGTTTGAACAAATTTTAAAAGAAATAACAATGTAAATTGAAATACAACACATGCGAATGCTCCTAACAATGATGTGTCCCTAAGTGCCACTTACTCGATGATTCCTGAAAAAGCATGTAAAACGAGCGTCAACTATAAAAATAGTTGGTGAGTACTCACAGATTTAAAAATAATATTAGTTTCATGAATTGAACTCAAAGTTCCTATAAGAGTTTCCATAAATGAAAATATATTCCAAAAATGAGTAAATAAGTTTTGCATAAACGAAGTTTGTTGTCATCATGAGAAATGAAGTATGTTGCCCAAATGAGATGTAACGTTCATATTCTCATGGGAAATAAAGTTTCCATAAATAGAAATATATTGCAAATATGAGTAAATAAGTTTGCGTAAACAAAGTTTGTTGTCATCATGAGAAATGAAGTATGTTGCCCAAATGAGATGCAACGTTCATATTCTCATGTGAAATAAAGTTTCCATAAATAGAAATATATTGCAAAAACGAGTAAATAAGTTTGCATAAACAAAGTTCGTTGTCATCATGAGAGATAAAGTATGTTGCCCAAATGAGATGCAACGTTCATATTCTCATGGGAAATAAAGTTTGTTGCTAAAACAAGATACAAGGTTCGTATGTGCATAATGATTATACCATGAGTTCACAACCCAAGCCTAATGACCGAGGGTGCCCTCTTCTACGTCTATCGCTAACATAGGGAAATATGGTAAAATGCACTCAAGCGAATCGTGCGAGTGAGGAGTTGTCTACCTCCTAATAGCGATATCCATAATAATCATAGGCTCAAATGAGTTAATGAGTTGTGTGAATTGATTCCAGGGACTTAAACGCGATAAGGCCTCATGAATTAACAATAGTATACACATACATAGCAACATTTAGCAACCAAGTTTGATACAAGTCAAATTAAATACAACGAACATAAATAGTTTAGGATATGCTTTTCCACCCCCAAAACATAAAAACCGAAAATAGGGGAGTGGTGAATACTCACAATGCATTGAGATGATGCAAATGGTGTCTTGAACTACGCTCCACTCGTACCACTACCGATTCCTACAATAATGATATTCGCTAGTGAGTCTCTAATCGAAATCTAACACTAGTATACTTACTACTACAATAGAATTATGCCAATATTGTGTCAAAATTAATATTGATAAATTTTAAACATATTTATGTGAAAATTAAATTTCAATGAATCAATTGTTATCTAACAATTTAAGTGGAAAATTCCCATTATTGAAATGTTAATATTTAACATTTTAAGAGGTATTCCAAGGATTAAATATTCAAAAACTAAATCAATTTAGTTCTAAACTTTCCCAAACTTTGCATTTCAGTTTTAATTGAAGTCAAAGACCCTTAGATAAATTTTCTTGACTTTTTGATTTGTCTAATTATTTTTCACCATTTAATTCTTGAATAATCATAAAATCATGGAAAAATAGTAAAAAGTTAATAAAAATTACCAAACTTCAGATTTTGGTTCTAACTACATTAAAAGACTTCCAGGTAAATTTTCAAGGTTTATAGATATGTATAACCAATTTTCTTATATTTAATTCTCTAAATAGATAAAAAATTCAT